CTGTACAGCAGTATAGTGAGGCCGATTACCTACGCCTCCACTTCGGGTGTAATAAGGCCAACCAAAAGACTACTGCGGACAGACTAAAAAGTCTACAAAGGACTGCCTTCTTAATAGCAACTAGAGCGAAGCGATCATCGCCTTGAGCGGCTCTTAATGCACTATAAGTGGTAAGGTATTAGGCCTATAAAGGCCTAATACCTCTTGATCTTTACTTAGACAAGGAGGCGAAGGCTAGTTTGTATATGATTCAGGCTCAGGGCGGTTTGAGCTTGCATTCCTATAGATTGAGATCCAAGCTCGACTCAATCAAGGGAAATACCGGCCTTATGCATGATCTCAGGTGTCATGCATCCACTTATATACTTTTAACGAAAAGTATACAGTGGAACTACCCTCCAGAGAAGACTGGCTGAATGTACAGGTCATCTGTGAGGTCGGTAGCCCTATATGGTATACCGATGGGTCAAAAATGGGCCTCAACGTAGGCTTTGGTATTTATGGGGAACGCTCCAAATTCAAACTCAGTATGACTTTGGGTAGATTCACCTCTATCTTCCAGGCAGAAATTTCCGCCATACCATTTCAATGTGCGGAAATCAATCTGCAAAAACACTACCTAAACCATATAATCTATATTAACTCTGATAGTCAAGCAGCACTGCTAGCGCTGAGATCAAACTTGGCGAACTCGAAGCTAGTTGGAGACTGCGTGAACCGTCTAAACGCCCCGGTAGGAAACAACAAGGTCGTTTTAAGATAGGTTACGGGTCACGCGGGTATTGTAGGCAACGAAACTGCCGACAAGCACGGGAGGGCTTAAAGAGTACAATTTCGACCCGAGCCAATTTTTGGAATCTCAAAAAGTCTCGCCCGATTGACCCTGGAAACTTTTTACCACAATAAATCACTTAGGATCTGGTCTGATACACCAGGCTTAAAACATTCTAAAACCTTAATCTAGGCTTTCGATTGTAAATTCGCTTTGGAAGCCCTGGGATTAGATAAAATAAATTGCGCATTCTGGTAAGAGCCTTGACACATGCACATGTCCATACTGGGACTAAGTAACTCAAGGATGTGCCGGTTTTACTCCCTAAAGGGGGAAACGCCTTTACACATCCTGACAAATTGCGGACCATTAATGCGCAAACGCAGCACTCATTTGGGAAGCTATGCACTTGGCCCAGAAGAAGTGAAATTACCCACAGCTAAGCAACTCCTTCTATTCATTAAGGACGTAGGGCTTAGCAGTAAACTGTAGACATAGCAGCGACCACAATAGATCTTTTAGGTCGCAGTGATACTGGTCTCTCTAGACCTGCATAGCTGTTCGTACATAATGTTCGTAAAAAATGGTAGAACAATCGCAAGTATAAATTATGTGGTATAAATTAGAGAAAGAATGACAGGAATAATAGGTTATGATCGGATAATCGGGTACGAATGGAAGTTGAAAGGAATTAGAGAGCATGGCTGGACGTACCAGCGACTAAAGCTGGTAATTTTGGCAGTATGGGTGATGAGATTGATAGAAAAAGTCAGTCTATCAAGATAGAACGATTTAGAATTGATAAAAAAATATCTGGTAATTTCCAGGCAAATAATAAAATATTCAGAAAACACTTTTGAACTTCCAGGTCAATAAAAGAAAGGGGAATGAAAGTGATCGCAAGTAAGACGAAAGAGATGGGTTTCAAATGAGAAGGAAGTAAAACGATATGTGATTAAACGATATTTATAGCCTATATCACTTCTGGCACGGCTTTCTAACTGTTCGTGAAGTTTTGTAACAATCGGTTTGGTCGGTATGGTGATTAGCCCGGGCAGACAGACAGAGAAAATTTTTACTATTTGTTGTAACCTGCAAATAGCCCTCTGAGATAAAAGGCAAGTATTTCGATATTACAGACATACACTTAAATTTTATTTACATGTGTATAGATGGATGGGGAATATCCTTGACCGACGAGCATGTGTGCGTAGGTATATGGACATAAAGGAGGGGAAAAAGGTGTGTCAGGATTGGGCCAATTAGAAGTCCATAGCTTCACGCTGTTGCATAATGCTTTAAAGGCGTTAAAGTTTGCGCATATAGTCACACCAGTTCGAAAACTGATCAGGTAAATCTTTCAATTCTGAAACCACAATAGAACCACCACTATAGACCACCATTATAGAACTGTACACGATGTTCAGTTATATATGTCCTAAAATGAGAAAGCTACAATGTGTCTTGATATTAGAAAAAAACTTTTACAAACACCTAAAGAAACGAGAATCACACTTAACAGTCAATTTACATGCAAAGGCACAACAAAGGTCTTTCCGTCTGCGCCCACCTGTGCTGGCCACCAGACACCCTCTCTATTCTATAGAATGATTTGTAGTAAGGACGAGGCCACTGAGCTCGATAATATGGAACGCAGCAAAATATATTCCACCGATTATATTATGTTAAATGATGTATCGATGTATAGACGGCTTTTGGGAATGCAGAAGACAGCAGCTTACTCCCGAAATTGATTTCAAATTCGATTCAGTTTTCGATTGAAACCGATGTCTCGAATTAACTCGAATCGAGAAGCACTTTCGATATACCTAGTCAGCTCATAAATTCTGTCACATGTTTAATATAAAATAATTGAAACAAGTTTATTCATTATGTAACCATTTATATACCAAAATGAACTTAACAAAACATAGATTCTTATGATACTAAAGTTTATTCAAAATGACCTCCGTGATTTTGAATACAGGCCTTCAATCTGCGCGGCCAGTCGTCTATCGCAGCACGAACGAGGTCCATGTCAATATCGGCGGCTGCCTTAATCAAGGATGTCTTGAGTGACTCCAAATTGGGATGAGGCTTTGAGCACGCCTTTTCCTCCAAGTGTTGCCATATCTTGTAATCTAACGGATTCAAATCTGGACTGGAGGAGGGCCAGTCTTCGTGCCGGATGAAGTCGATTTCACTCGCCACCAGCCAGTCTTGTGTGCTCTTCGCTCTATGAGCTGGCGCCGAATCTTGTTGGAATACCCAGTGCCTGTTATTGAACATGGTATGAGAAACAGGTTCCACAAGGTTCGTCAGGACTGTATTTTGATACACAACTGCATTAGTTTTTACACCTTTCTCACAAAAATGTACCTCTGTTAAGCCCCAATAAGAAACTCCCAACCATACCATGAGCGAGGATGGAAAATGACCTCGTTGGACACGTGGAATACGGTTGCCCGCTTCTTCACTACTGTGTGCGTACACCTCATCATTTTGTTTGTTGTAGTTCTCTTCTACGGTAAAAATTTTTTCATCCGAAAAAAGTATTTCCCGATTTTTTTTTCCCGCATACCGCTTCAACAAAGCTCGGCATCTCTTCAGTCTCAGGTCCATTAGACGAGCATTCAAACGATGTCCTGTTTTTCTTCGATATGCCCGAAGCCCTAAGTCTTCATTTAACACCCTTTTCACCGTGGTTCTGCTTAACCCCATCTGAAGGGCCAACAGTTTCTGCTTACGTTTGGGATTTCTTTGAATTCGCGCCTTCACAGCTTTTATCACTGCTGGAGTCCTAACAGACCGAGGGCGACCAGTTCTTGAACTGTCATCTACACTAGAGTCTTCATTGTATCGTTTGATGGTACGATAAACGAATCTTTTGGTTATATTCAAATTTTTCAGTATGTCAAAAATTTGAATTGGCGCGTAACCGCAACGATGCAACGCAATAACTGCAACACGGTCTTATTTAAGCGTCCACTCCATATTTAAAAATGAGTAAAATTCTAAAAAGTATACGGTTTTATTTTCATGAACAATTCGAAATTCGAATTCAATAAACTTTTTTGTGGCCAGCATTCTAAAAGAAAAGTTTTTACTGTGTGACAATACTTATGACCAGACTAGGTACAATCAAGCGTTACTAACGTCGTTAAGCACATACGGACACTTTTTATCCGGAGATCATTATAAAATAAATAAAAGCTTAAGAATTTTTATATTTACAGTTCCATTTCACCTTGGAACTGAGGTATCAAATTCATTTACTGCACAGTGAACTTGGGTGCATGTGTGTATTATGGTCGTTAGATGACGTACGCTGTACCTTTAGTAGATAGACATCCACTATAGATTAAAAAGGTCTGACATCAACAGACAGTTATATATAAGTAGTTATACTTGTAATATAATAGTACGATGCACGCACAATACGAATAGGACTGTGAAATGGACATTTGACTAAATTCAAGAGTATTTGTAGGATTTGCAAAAATCATGTCTAAAATACATTTCATAAATATCAAATATTTATTTTATTTCGACTGTTAGGTATTAATTTGATGTCATGACTGTAGTAGTTATAGATAAAAATAACTTAAAACAAATAAATTATGAATGTAAAAAGTCTGCCATTTAGGAAGTGAAGTTGTTTGTAAACACTATTCCATCTTATTCTTAAGCCTGTGCACGTTGTAAGGCTCCATTTACATTGCCACGGAACGGAATGGAAGCGAAGTTTTTAACGAAATCGTACATAGTAAAATGAGTTTTATGTTAATTGTTTACCGTGCAAAATAAACATGAATCAAAAAAGAAGTCACGCGCCTTCCGGGGAATTCGGGCGCATTCTCAAAAATTCCCGTAGCTACTGTCGTGTCGGCGCAGTTTGTGGAATCCGCGGGAAGTAGCGCGAAAAGTGACGCTTTCGTCCCTTCCATAAATCATGAACCCAAATATTTGTTTTCCATTTTCTGATATTCTCCTTTTCTCATCATTTTCTTTTTCTGCCGCACAAATAAGCAATATGAAAATAATATTCAATAAACCCTTTTTGTCAAATAAAAGTTCTAGAATAAATAACTGAACGTCTCTATAGTCTCAAGGCGCAGTCGCGGGAATGTTCGAGCATTCTCGCGAATTCGCGCGTCTTCTCGCGCGACGAGGCTAAATTGACTCTTGCGTTCTGTCGCAATATAAATTAAGCCTACGTGTTTAATACCTGTTCCTTGATGTCCTGTAGCTGTTGTTGCAGCTTCTGGACGTCGGCGGCGGGCGGTGCAGGGGGTGCGGAGTGTGCGAGTGGTGCGGGGGATGCGAGTGGTGTGAGGGACGCGACGGCTGCGGGGGGTGCGGCGGGGGTTCCGGCAGGGGGCGCAGCGGCGGGCGCCGAGCGCAGCCCGTTGTTCATGTGGTGCGGCGCGGCCTGCGTCGGTGCGGGCTGACCTTTGTTCACCTGCACCTGTGCCAGGTTGCTGCTGCTCTCCTTCTCCACTGTGGATGGCGAACACGATAATGGCGTTACGTCGCAGTTGCACGTACAATCAAAGCCCATTTAATTAGAAATAAGAATGAATTTTCAACCGACTTCAAAAAGGAGGAGGTTTATAATTCGTCGGAATCTTTTTTATGTATGTACACCGATTACTCTAAGACGACTAAACCGATTTCGAAAATTCTTTTTTTTGTTTCAAAGGGAAGTATATCCCAGGTGGTCCCATTTAAATTTTATCCGTCATTTATATTTATGAAATCGAAATCGGTCGAAGGGTTTTAAAAAAATCAACAATAAATTATATTTATATTGAAGTCGGTTGTACAAAATTTTTTATTTTACCACTTCTAATAATAATCAATTAGAAAAGTAAGTTACGGAACCTGAGTTGTCGATCGAGATATCTAATATTACATGTAAAAATAATTTCGTAATCGTTTTCATAGCATATCTAAAATATTAATGTCAACTTTCGTTATATTCCATTTTCCTCATTTTTAATAGTTACCTATGCTTTGCCAGGTTATGGTAGAAATAATAACAGGTATGATGTTGTCGATTGGAGACAGAGACACTTTCACTGCCTTTAGTCATGTTTTATGTGAAGTAGTGACTAATATTAAAAAAAAACTTGTATTTATGGAGGTGTTTTATATACAAAAACTGTATAAGAAAAAACACTAAAACACTTGAGTCGTTAGATTTAAGTCTTTAGATTTCCGTCGCGTGTTCTATTTTATAAGTGTCCAGAAACAGAAACAGAAACTTTTTTATTCAATATAGATTATAAATAATACTTATTGAAAGTCATTCTTTTGTTTGATTACCACTGGTTCGGAAAAAACCTCTGTCCTGGGAAGAACCAGCAAGAAACCCAGCGGGACTTTTTTTTTTAAATAACAGCTTACAATCATGATGTTACACAAATTAACAACACAACAAATTAGAAATAGCTTGGTAGCGATCACCTCATTTCCAGGGGTTATTATCATCCATAAATTCCTTAATATTATAATAACCCTTTTTATACAAACTTAGTTTAATAAAGTTTTTGAACTTTGAACAGGCCAAACTTTGTATATTTTCTGGAATTTTGTTGTAAAAGCGTATACATCGCCCCAAGAATGAATTACTGACTCGATGGAGTCGAGTAACTGGTACTACTAGCTTGTGTCTGTTCCTAGTATTTACAGAATGAATATCACTTATTTTTATAAAACTACTTTTATTTTTGTGTACGTACATTAAATTTTCATAAATGTATTGAGAGGCCAAAGTTAATATATTAATTTCCTTAAATTTTTGTCGCAGCGACTCTTTAGGCTTTAAATCATAAATTGCTCTTATGGCCCTCTTCTGCAAAACAAATATAATTTCTGTGTCAGCTGCGTGTCCTATCCGTCATTCCCAATGAATAAAAAATATTAACACTAAAAAGTAAAGTCACTTTGAAAAATGACATATTACAAATAATTTTGGTTCGAGCAAAGTCATACATACATTAAAGCAAAGAACTGATGAAGCGATATTTACCCACGCCCGCAGCGGTTGCGGTATTCTACGCGTGTCCGGGACACGCGTAGAATATAATAAATGTATGCATTGGTCTAAAGTAAATTTCATGACGTGATTTAAGCTCGCGGTGCATGCGGTTCTTTGCAGCTGTCACTGCATTGGCGGGCAATTAGTAGAATTGCGCAGGCCACGGTAACCTGCGCAATATTTGGCCATTTAAAGTTTTTGGTGTTTTTCATGGCACTCGGCGTCTTTTTTTTTTATATGATAAGGGTGACAAACGAGCACACAGTCCACCTGATGGTAAGTGGTTGCTGCGGCCTATAGACATCTACATCTATCCTTTGTTACAAATCAAAATGTAGATGCGTTGTCACCCGTGAGGACTAAGATGGAATGCCTCATTTCCAGTAAAAAGGGCCTCCGGCCACCTGCACTCACCAAGCGAAACGCAGAGGTAAAGCTCTACTTCACGCTGGTTTTCTGTGAGGTCGTGGTACTACCCCGGTTCGAGCTGGCCCATCCGTGCGACAGCAAAAGCTGCCGCGTGGCTCTACCACTGTTAAAAAGTCTGGGACTTAACGGGTATTCGATTCATCGCAAATAACTCGCATTGCGCCCGCCCTATTGCGATTAGTTAACTGCTACCGCGGGCACGAAACCACAAAAAAGCGCGGACTCGCGAGTTTTGAAATAAGACAGCAGTATCGCGGCTGGCACGAGTGAAAATCTTAGCCTTAACATCTCTAAATCGAAAAAGGTATTTGAAAAAATATTATTAATAGTGAAATAAAAATACGAATAATGTACGAGTAGATAATAGTGATATGAGATGTATATTATGATTCAAACACTTTTGATTACATCCATTCACTTATTCATCCGTTACAGGTTACTAGTATAAGTCCACCGCTAAACATAAGCACAAGCCTTGCTAATTTTGAGTTGTTACCAGGAAGATGTCGCTGCTCATCTCTTGTATCATTTCCGTCTGTAGCCTCTTACGAAACCATCGGGATGATATGGGGTTAAAAAGAGTAATATTATTAAAAGTGCTTAATTTATACTATTATAAAAGAGAGTATACCATAATAAAGAGATTTATTAATGATTTTTTATTGCAACCGGGCGACCTTCCAGTAGATGGGAGGGATAACTTGATAAAATATACAGGTAGTCGATGGATGGAAGTGACACCGGTCGATGTTCGGCAGTAAACTTGTGATGCGCTGTAATGTATGGATAATTCCATCTCAGTCCTCAGGGGTCTGACGAATCTGCATTTCGATTCTTAATCGAGGACAAATGTAGATGTCTAGGGGCCACAGCATCCACTTACGATCTGGTGGACTATATGTGCTCGTTTGCCTTATTCTATATTAAAAAATGTAGTTAAAAAAATGATTGCGTTTACTCCAGATTAAGCATATAGCACAACATGTAAAAAGTAATTATAGGTATATGCAAAAAGGTAAATAAAACGAAATATTTACCAACATTATAAATTTAAGAAAATACCTATACTTAAAAAAATAACAATAAACTGTTAGTCGTAGGACTGCATGTTAGAAGTGAAAACTTTTTAGCTTCATAAACATATATATATATACACACATCTATATATATGTAACTACGTGATAGTTACGCGAGTTCAGTGCTTTTCACTTCAAAAATGCTATGCTGCAGTATAAAACTGCGAAAGATGTACGTGTGCAGTACTCACGGTGGAGGTTGGCGTGAGGCAGCGGTGGATGCGGTTGCGGCTGCTGCGTGTGCTGCGGCGGCGGCGGGTGCGGCGGCTGCGGCGGCTGCGGCTGCAGCGGCGTGCGGCACTCCACGCACTTGCGCATGAGCGGCGCGCAGGCGGCGCAGGCGCACACGTCGCCGCACGGCCGGAACACCACGGTGGCCGGCGCCTCCGAGCACACCACGCACTCGCCCACGCGCTGCCGCCCGCTCACGCACGCGCGGCACACCAGGCACTTCTTCACCTGCGGGTACGTTTGTGGCGGTATATTCAAATGTCTATATTATTGTATGGTTTGTAAGGCCACACACTTTCAAGAAGTAGTTGTAGTTAGTTAGACGTGCGGCTAAAAGTAGGTTGCAGCGTTTACTAAATAAAAATTTGTGATGTAACCATACAATTATATTGCTATTACACTCATAGACAAATTTATAGGAACGCAGAAAAAAAGGTTTCATTTCTTTCGCTGTCGGGCGTACTAGCCACAAATATTAGTAAAGGCTATTAAATTTTCGAATATCATTTGATTTTATGTAAATATTGCGTTCGTACATACTGCGAAAAATTTTGCCAACTTTCGAATTTAAATGTTTGTCTTGAATGCCTTCATTATCGTGTTAAGCGTGAATTGTTACTACAATTCAACAGAGAATGCCAGATCCAAACGCCACTCAAGTTGCTAGGGCTGTAACTTTAATTGAGGTGTGTCCAACCTACAAACGTGTGGTCCCAAACATTTCAAATATCAAAATCTATGTTACACCGAGTTGTTAAGAGGTATCGGTAGGCTAGAGACGTAAACAGAAAACTGTGACCAGAGATTACCGGCTCATCGTTACCAGCATGATTAGAAGCCGGACCTTAACTTCTTCAGAGGTGAGAAATAAGCTCCAAGAGGTTACAAAATCTGTGAGAAAAAGACTGAAATCCTACCATTACCCCCTACTTATCACATGCCATCGCGTAGCTCGAGTTAATTTTGCTCACAATTACGAAAATTAGAATAACGAAGCTTGGAGTCGAGTTCTGTTTACAGTTGAGGCCAGATTTTGCCTGGAGCCAGATAATAGAAGGATTAAAGTGTGGAGATGCCTGGGAGAAAGGTACGCTAAGTGCAACATCATTAGAAAAAAGACATATGGTGGAGGGTTAGTTATGGTTTGGGGAGGTGTTTGTATGGGGGCACGTACGGAACAGCGGCACGTTATGTAACTGAGATTTTGTGAGGAATCGCAGTGCCATTTGCCCCTTTTATAGGAGATATATTAGTTTTTATGCATGATAATGCACGCCCCTATACAACGGCCGCAGTTGTTGAATACCTTCGAGACATTAAAGCCAATGCTATGGGGTGTCCAGCGCGCTCGCGCATCTTATACCCCAAAGAGCAAGTATAGGATAAGATTGGAAGACAATTTAAGAAAAGAAATCTTGCGACCGCTACTTTGAGAGACCTTAAAGATCTTCAAAATCTCAATATTTTATTAATAACTTGATTAGGGGCATGCCAAGGAGACTAGAAGCGGTTTGAATAGCTAGAAGTGGAAACACTAAGTTCTGATAATAGCCCACGTTATAGCCTTTCCTAATCATTTATGAAAAAAATGAATAAAATTATAATTACTACTACAATAATTAACAGTGGTAGAGCCACGCGGCAGCTTTTGCTGTCACACGGATGGGCCGGCTCGAACCGGGGTGGTACCACGACCTCACACAATACCAGCGTGAAGTAGAGGTTTACCTCTGCATTTCGCTTGGTGAGTGCAGGTGGCCGGAGGCCCTTTTTACTGGAAATGAGGCATTCCATCTTAGTCCTCACGGGTGGCAACGCATCTGCATTTTGATTCGCAAACGAGGATAGATGTAGATGTCTATGGGCCGCAGCAACCACTTACCATCGGGTGGATTGTGTGCTCGTTTATCACCCTTATCCTATAAAAAAAAATTACAAAAAAAATATTTTCTTTTCTTAATTTGATTAATTTTGTCATTTGATAGTTTGTTTTTTCGTTTGCAATTTTAAATTAACGAATAATGAGCAAATCGAAATTAATAAACTTAATATCACAAATATTTATGATATTTTGTTTCATACACACTTTTTTGAGCAACGAGCAATAGTGCTGGTGAGGCCGCGGATGTGCGTATAAAGCGTTCCCCTTAGCCTTGCTAATATGTAATAAAGATGGTACACCGTTGAGTTTTAGTACGTGAGAGGCCGGAATAACACGTGATTGACCCCGCGAGACCACGTCATTTCCTTACGAAAAAACTCAGAGTTTATAAGAAAACTTACCCTAGCAGCGCAAACATTGCAGCAACATATATGTCCACAGGGACGAAACATGGTGTCTCGCTTTGCGTCAGAACATACGAGGCACTCGTCCGCCGTCGGGTCGGAAGTTTGGACTGTTTCGCCGCTAGACGTTTCTGGTGCAGCGGTGCTAGTGGAGGCGGTTGCACCGCTGTTAGATATACCTACTGAGCTTACTTCGCTCTCTGGCGTACCGTCACTTGTCATTCCAGAACCTTCCTTACGGCATGTGGTTAAAGTTTTACGAAGATTCGGATCTGGACATAAATCTAGTGGAGTTTGACCTGAAATAAAAAAAATATTAATTTATTATTAAATGCCCAAGGGCATTCTTACCAAGTCAACATCAAAAAAATCACCACGTATGTATTATGTATGTACATATATATAATATGTATGTATTTAATATATATATATATATATATTTATATATATACATATTATATTATACATACATAAACTATATACATATAAACATAACTATGTCAGTACATGTACAAAAATACTTATAATATCTACTTCATATCTATGGATATACAAATATAAATATTCTTATTTATCCTGATAAATATATTTATTATCTTTATCAGGATAAATAAGAAATTACCTTGAAATGGTGCGGAGTAGTCTAACACATCTGTGCTGACGAATAGGGAGTCAATTATATTGTAATAACTTAGCAAAGTAGTTTTGGGTGAACCCCCATTAGATGGAGTAACGACCTGATAAAACACGCAGGCAGTCGAAGGATGCAGGTAGTTCAGGACCTTTGTGGCAATCTATGGTGGAGACCTGTTTTCAGTAGTGGACTTGATGTTGAGCATGTAGTGAGATGAAATGTGTGAAAAAGTAAAAGATGAGTTCAAAGAACAATGGTGGGATTTAATTCCTCTACAGACTATATTTTAGCATCGACTTCAAGGTGAGAAATATATTTTTTCGTTCTTTAAAGTCTGCTTTTACTTTTAAATAAAAGTTTTTTTAATCTGTCATATCAACGTAAGTTAAGCGGTTTTCTATTTACTACTTTCGTTTATAATACATCCACTAATTTTACTACACTGGAAAATTATAAGAGAATGTTGGATAGTTTGTTCTTGTACAAAATAATGGTCATATTTATTGTTCTGAACTGCTAAAGGAAATAAACTACAACGTTCCTTACAAACTGGCTCGTCTGTCCAAGTATTTGCCGTTCAAGGAGGACAACTAACCAATTTTTTTGTATTAACAGGTTTCAGTTACAATAGTCGTCATTCATCGGCTGCCATTATTTATGTGTCTTATTCGCTACGTAAATTAAAACGCAATTTATGTTAAATGTTTGTTTCTAAAACGGCGTTTTTCTTATAGAAAAAGAATGACAAATGAGCACAAATAGAACCAAAAAGCAGATGTGTTGTCACCCCTGAACACTACGATTGAATGCTTTGTTACCAGTTTTATGGTTCTCTGGAGCATTCACCGGCATTGTAGAAAGAGTGTGGTTTTTCCCGGTTGCAGCTGCAATGGGGGTTTTAGCACTTAAAGAAAATAAAGACTATAAAAAGCAATTAAGTAAAATAAATTCCATGTCCAATTCTTTAAAAGTACGATACTTTTTCTTAGTGAGCAGGAAAACTTAATAAATTTTCTTTTCAAATAGGTGCCCGTATAAAAGCGAACAACCGTAAACTTTTTGTGCTTGTCGAAAAAGTTTTATTAGCAATTACCGAGAACCAGTTGAAGATCTGAGATACCTATATCATTTTCTACTGAAAGATTTCTCGTTTTCAAATTCGTTTTGTAAAAGGACGCTCATTTTCTTTTTTTTTTAAATTAGGCATTTTAATTAATTCGAGTATAATAATTTAAAGTGGCAGCGTTTCTTTAAGATTAATTAAACATTTCAAAACGTGTTTATAGGTAGTAGTAAAATAAAGAACACAGTTTTACGATCACTAACTCGTCAGTCAAGTAGGGAACATTAAAAATGCCTCCTAATGTTGATGAGGCCTACTTTCAACAGTGGAATATAATAAGCTGATGGATGAAACGCAGTAATGAAAGGGTATTAAAATTGTTGTTGTTGTTAAGATTTGCAAAATAAGAGAGTCAAAGTTTTAGACCATACAGTCTAGTCTGATGTGTATTTTACTCACAAAATTCTTCACATTATGCTGATGTGTTACATAGCAAAGTTTTGGTAGATTTTGAAGACAGCTTAAATCAGCGGTAATGACGATGATAGTATTTCAAGCCACCTAAGCAAATTAGCACTTGTAACATCGTTACCACCAAAGTTCACAAGATCGAAATATTGTATTATGTTGCTGTATTATGTTGCTATATTATGTTGCTTACCCTTTTTATTTTTCAGTGTGAGATCCGCGCCATGTGCGGCAAGGAAGCAAGCGATGGAGGCGGAGGACTTCTTGTCATGCGCGTGCGCGAGCGCACCCAGCGCTGCCGCGTCTCGTGCGTCCTGCAGCCGCCGCAGCTGCTGAAGCGTGTGGTGCCGCAGAGCCTCGTGCAGTGCCGTGTCGCCGTCCTAACGCACGTTTATACATTGCGTGTTAACCACAGATTATTAGGGGGTAATCTATGGTGTTAACATTCTACAGAATACTAGCATATATCATTAGTAATGATATATGTATGTATCATATAAATTTAATAACAGATTAATTACTGGCAGGGAGACATTTAATCCTCAAATAGTTTTCAGACGGTTATCGTTAACCGTCTGAAAACCTAGGATAGTACCTAAATAATCCATAGTTACTGACAATGAGACTGATTGACGAAAGTCTATTTTATGTGGTAAATGTTTTAAAAATTAAAAACCTACATGACATTTTTTATCTACAATAAAAAATAGATTTATTTTAAAATAGCTAAACTTCAATGATTTTAATTAAGTTGTAATTTTTGTCGTAAAATTTAATAAGAAATTAAAGGATCTTAATTGAATCTTTATCGTGGTAAAGTTTTTAAAATTTATAGATAATTCAGATATTGAAATCTAATATATAACAATTGATGTTTGTTTAAATGTTATAATATGTATATTAGATTTCAGCTGCAGTATGCGCTGCCATACCGTTCATCACATTGCGCTTAAATTTCGTAAACTTATTGCTTGCACTTGTGCAAAGGTTATAGGCATAGCACATTTAACTTAAAGTAGGTGGTGCGCGTAGCGTACCGACAAATTTATTTGAAAGTAATATATAATTTAATTTCAATGAATGTATTATTCTTCCTAATTAAATAATATAACTTCTCCAAATTTAAAACGATATTACAATAATTTTTTCTGCGGCAGAATTTATGCCAGGTTTTATTTTTGCCGCGCAAATGCACTGCTTAACGTCAATACGCTATGTTTAGCCTAGCGTATCAACGCCGGATATTTGTGAACAATAAAAAATATTGTTTTCCGCACCTCACAATGTGGGGGAGGGGGTGCTCTATTCTCGCTATGTGGCCATACGTCAATTTCGCTACATAAAATTGTTCTTATACTTTCGTTTCTAGCAAGACTTCTACTTAACTTCTAGTTTTTAGCTAGACATTAAATCCATATTATTATTAACGTTACAATAACTACAGACATTGAATTATAAGATTAGTTTATTTTCTAATTGATTCACTTTAGATTACATAACAAAAATTATAATTGAAAAAATATATGGACTGTCTTCCGTTGGTATAATAGGGTTATTAGTAAAAACTTGTGTGTATTTAAATTACTTTAAAAAAAATCCGTATAATCATGCTATACGTAGTTTTTGAATGTGCATGGCATGCACAATTGGATTTACCAATATATTTTTTTTTCATCAAAATTAAATGAAATGCTCACGAGGCGTGCACTTTTGGCTTTTCCAAACTATTTTGTTTTATTTAATATTTCCAAAATGTCGAAACTTTTACGGAGGAAATAGGTCGAATTATTGAAAAATAAAAGTGAAAAGTAATAAGAGACGATAATAATTGATGACTATTTTGGCAACATCTCGACTTTAATTTGTGGATATGATTTTATTTTATCACATTTTCAGTTAATCGAAACGCCTCATCATCGACGAAAACGTATGGTAGTAGTAAATGTTCTCTGAGTCCAGTAAACTTTATTGAAAGCAAACTAAAAGTTTCCCGTATCTTTATCTATCTTTATAATCTTTGATTTTGAAAAGATAGTAGATATTTGTATTATTTGTATATATATGTTGATATACAATTTTACGCGGTAGAGCCATGCTGCAGCTATATTGTATTTGCAGCACGAATGGGTCGGCTCGTCCGGTGTGGGATCACACTCTCATAGAATACCAGCGTAATATAGAAAATCTGTCCGAAATAATATATTCTGCTGTGTTTCGAATGGTGAGTGTAGAAAACCGGAGACCCTTTTACTGAAAACCAGGCATTCCATCTCAGTCCTCAGGGGTAACAAAGCATCTGCATTTTGATTCTTAATTGAGGATAAATTAAGATGTCTATGGGCCACAGCATTCACTCACCACAAGGAAGACTGTGTGCTCGTTTGTCACCCTTATTCTATAAAAAATGTGTTTACAAAACCTAAGTAGAACTGCACTGTAATTCGGTGCGTTTAGACACACCAAACAACGTTAAATACGTTATATTTATTCACACGATTCAATAAAATTTAATTCGTAGTAATAGTAGTGTACAGATAAAGTCATATTGGTTGTCAGTTTTACTATGTTTGGCCATTTAATGGTGTACAAATTTTATAGTTCATTACAAACAGAAAATGAAAATTAATTAAAATATAATAAATCATTATATGTCACAAAGCTATATAATAAATTATTAATAAATGACAAATATAATATTTATTATTTACAATTTTAACATAAGAACAATAATTCATAATTGGTCAGTCACGTTACCCCTCAATATACCGTCTGCCGATGAAATTAATATTTTAAATGTATAAATTTACGTGAGCATGCTAATAAAAATTGATCGTGATGCTGCATTAACGATGGATCCCGCGGCGGGTGCAACAGTCGCCCGCGACGGAGCTCGTTGCGTGTACTCCTGCGCCGGGATCACGGCGTAGGACACCCTTAGTTACGTTGTGATTATTTGGTAGCTTAGTTATTTAAGGTTAGGTTCTTGGAAGAATGAATATTCAGTAGAGCAATATAAAGCCTCTGCTAAAGCCTAATAATTATATTTTACTAGCTTTTCGTCCCGCGGTGTAACCCGCGTCCAAGTTGTAACATTCAGGCAGTTATAATTCCCGCTTATTATGAGATCGCATAATACGGAAAGCTCAAGCTATCACGTGCAAACTTTTCAAAATTCAAACAAACCCCTAACAATATTTCTCTTTGTTCTCCAGTACATTGATCCTCCTTCATCAATACATCTGTTCAACTCCAACAAACCATTTCTCTTCACACTCAAATACATTCATCCTCCTCCATCAATGAATCTATTCCAGTTGTGCGGTTGTGAAACTCCTCGCCTCTACATATAGACCGTGATCAAATCCCTTTTTTGTTCAAATATCTACTCAAAGCTTATCTTGTAACTTTAATATTTTCCATCATACTTCCCGTCCTTTTTTCATTTTTAACTTAATTGTATAATTTATGTACAAGGTATACATAAATTAAATAATTTAGTTAAAAAAAACTTCTAACCATTTCTTGTGCACAAAACAGGAACAGGAAGCAATTCTTCCAGACAGGAAGAATTGCTATGATCGGACGGAAGACCGATATGATCGTCATTTGTATTTATTTATTTCATTTTGTTTTTGTTTCAATGTGTGTTGTTGTACAATAAAGAATGTACTGATTGGTTTGTTGATCAATTGATTCATTGAAAACTGCATCAAAATAGTTTACAGTTTTATGATATAATAATAATTTCTTATATTTACGCGTACACTACACATTTAAATAAAACTAGTTTTTACGGATTTTATCGCGTATATTAACTTATTTTATTTAAAAGATATTTTATTAATTCAACTCAAGAGTATTTGTTGAATTTGTTTTCAAGTAAAAAAAAAAAAATATTTTTTCTTTGCTTGCTTTGTAAAACCACTACTTATGTGTTCAATTATTTTCAGAATATTTGCAGTAAGTTTGAAGTTAATCGTCGCGTAAAATAAAGAGTTTCGTACAAATTTAACCCCATTTCACCCTCTTAGGGTGTCTATGTTTAATGGATGCATCATATGCCATTAAAGTCAGCTACTGCCAAAATTACAGATTTTTACGTTTAGCGGTTTAAGCTTTGCGTTGATAGATGAGTCAGTTACTCAGGACATCCTATTTTATGTATATTTTATTTATTAATAAGCCCCGTTCATATAGGAAGGGCTCACAAAACGTAAAATAACATTGTGTAATTCGTGACTTTTCCACTTGTTTCAGGTTCACATCAGTCAATTCCTTATTAACTAAATAATACCTTGATGATGGCTCACAATATTTGAGCCTACTTTCTTGAGCGCTACCATCTGCCAGACCGTCACTTCTGTAGACGTGATGTAAGTGTAAGGCGTCAACCACCGATTGCATGGTTAGCACGGATTATAGCTGCTGTGCGTGTCATAAGTACACTGCTGACCTCAAGGGACCCCAGTCCCATATTGAGCGGCTTTCAGCCGTGGCTTTGAGTTAAGACTCCTTCCTAACAACACACACGTCCACATGAGATGTCGACGCGTAATGCTCCACCAACCAATACAGCAACAGATTGAGCCAAAGCCGAAAATATAATTATTATTCAAAAGATAAATGACGTAAAGCAGTTTTCAATCGTGTTTATTTCACTCATCAACCAGTTGTTTTTATTCATTCAAAGGTCGCAAATTTATAAAGAAATTTATATTTTATTCTGTTTTTATATAAAAAATCAGTGAGGCCAGACAGTGTGCAGCCTCGTCATCAAAGTTAAAGTGGACTCCGATATTAGTCAACTTTACCGCAGTCTCGGTTCCGGTAAGGAAGTCAAGCGACACTATAATTAATATACCTTACAGGTTCCATTACTATTGATATAATACTTTTATATATTTGAGAATTTCCATATATTTGCTTTATTTCATGGAATCTACTTTCATATGCCTTTTGTATATGAGACTTCAGGGCCAAGCTCTTTGTCATTATAATGCTTTAGCATCTTAGATAGGTGACTTCTATATTATTGCTTTTGTTTCATAGACCTTACTTTTATGTATCCATAGTATGGGACTTTCACATCGTACAACTGTATTTCGGCTTACTGCTGATATGTGTCTCCGGCCTCTCGAATTATGTGTGAGAAGATTGATGCCCTAGGATTTGGTTCAAACTTTGCATGAAAGTTGTCTAATGTTAAAATAATAATTTTTTATGAATTAGAAGCAATAGTTTCAGAGATATTATCAAAATAAGATTCATGCATTACATGACATCATGCTCTGTTTAATAGAATTATAAAATAAAATTTGTAACTGTTTTTTTATGTTTGTTTATACTTAATGTTCAAAATTATTGTATTTTAACTATGAGATTATTAAAGAATTTTAATTAATTAAAATATTACTTCCTTGATACTTTTAAGCCGGACCTTCACGTTGGCCAACATTGTGGCGAATGTGTTGGCAAAGATATTAGCCAAGAGTTTGTGATGGCGTCCACACGTTGGAAGGTCGTTCAGTTTGCTTCGGTTCAGGCCAATGAGTGGACGAATTTATTAAAATGGATATTGAGACGCTAACGCCTACTGCGGTTTATTTATTCACAGTATACCGCTACTACATGAATGCGTATAAGAAAAGGGTGATCAAAAAGAAATGCAAAAAAAGAATTTTTATTTCGTATACACTAGATACGATGCGTGAATATAAAATTTAAATGAGGTGCGTGTGATCACTCTGGGAGCTCGTAGCAAACTAAACGTGCGCCCAACGTGTGGACGCGGCGGCCAATACTCTGCCACAACCTTTTGATGTTTTGTAAAAAACCGACACCACACGGATTTGCGCCAACTTGTGGGCCATCATTCCAATACATACCAAGTGAAGCACAAACACCCGCTCTACACGACATCCATCGGTATTGACCAACACATTCGCCAATATGTTGGTCAACGTGAAGAGCCGTCTTTAGACGATTATGTATAAAATTTGTTTATTTTTCAGTATTAATAATAATGCGTCGTCACAGTATACACCAAGGAATCCCTTTAGCAAGCATATCGTTATCGATGTCTGATGAATTTAGTTCTACTTTAGGGTGACAAACCAGACCACAGTCTACCTGATAGTAAGTGAAGGCTGTGTCATCCATCATACCAAACACAGCAGAATTAAGCTACTATTTTACGCTGGTATTCTGTGAGAGCGTGACCTTTCCCCGGTCAAGCCAACCCATTTGTGCTAGCACCATAATGTAGCTGCAGTTTGACTACGATTTAGGATGATATGCAGTATGATGGTGATATGATAGTAGTTTGAAGGTGGTACATGATTACAATATATGTGGAATAGAGAAAAGAAAGATTTTTAGCAAATTATTATGAGACTGATACTTGTATAACTTATTCGATTATTATTAAATGTTTTTATGATAACATTTTTTTTTCATTTCAATTGTTTTATTACTACGCTAATTACGAATACGCTATTGTTAAGGTAAGTCAGTGTGCTTTACCATTTTCGGATACATCACTACTAACGAGTACCGTCGGGTGGAATAGTAGTCAAGCACAAGCAGGTACAGATTTGGTAATAAGAATATTTTTTTATTTGCATTAGCCGTAGGGAAATGGTAAAAAATTAAAATAAGAAATGGAACCCTGAAAATAGGCGAAAATATTATATTAAATTTGTATTAAGGCGCAGGTTGAGCAAAATGTCGCGCTAGTCGTTATTTGTGCGGTTTTCAGAAGCTATCTACTTTTTATTTAAAAGATATATCAACAAATAAAAAACACATTATATTTCTACATAATCTTGATTCCATAAAAGCTATATCCAATTTTTTTTTAAACTAATAAATATTAATATAATCTCCTTACAACGAAACCACATAAATGTGAAATTATTATTGATAACATGGATCTCCTCGTAAAGTAAGTATTATTTTATTTTGCGATTTACACCAATGGATAGACAATTTATTAATAAACATTTCTATAGTAAATTTTTTTTCAAAAGACCAAAATTTGATTTTATTAAGAAATTATTTTAAAATCTGGGCATATTCACTGCTCACGGGCTTGCTGGAGTCATTGAGCCCTGAGCTCTTCGACGCGAAGCCCGTGTCGTTAGAGCGTCGACCAGCGCCGCATACACACACGTAATATCAGTCGATAAATAATATTACTTATTAGGTTATTTATAGGTAGTATTATTTGTTTGTTTTGGGTATAATTTTTCGTATTAGTTATACATATATTTGTTGTGTTTTTTACTGAGCGATGAAGCTTTTTGCGTGTATTTTCTTTGAAGTAAATGCAAATAAAAAAATGAAGAACCATTGGCATGTAAGGTTCGAATCCATAATTAAAATTTCGATAAATATTATAATTTACACTATAAAAGGCTAATTCAATATTATCACCCAACCACAATATCTTATTATGTACAGTACTACCTCGTTGGTCTAGTGGTTGTAGTAGTGCGACTGCTGATCATTAGGTCCCGGGATCGAATCCTGGGTCGGGCCCTGTCAGTTATGAGTTTTTCATTTATGTTCTAAGTTATAATTAGTATTACTAAGTTATAGTTTTTTGCTAAAATATAGTATATTATTTATTGCTTGTTTTTTCTTCTTTTTCAAAAAATAATTGAGTACATAAAGTGTTCTATACTTATACTTCGGTAAAAAGTATCTAAGTAGGTACTAATATACCTACTTTTTACTACTAAAAATTTTTAAAACTAAATTTAACTAAAAAGACTAAACTGACCATTTATTTTTTAACTCAAAACAGGACATGGGTTTATTTATACTCTAAAAACTATAACTTTATACAATTAGTGTTCACTGTAAAATTATATTCGGTATAGACGGTAATTATTAAATGCAACATATTTTTCTTAATTATTAATTACATTTGTCAGTGGATTAAATTTTCTTTAATAAAGTTAGTGATGATTTTAAATAAAAATAAAATTCTGCTCAAGTTTTTTTATTGTTATCTTTGTTAACAACATCGCCTTTAGAACTCTGGAACCGTAAGTGTTTCTTTCAGACGTCCACAATTTATTCAAAATAAAAAAAAAATACTCTTTCTACCGGAGCATTCGTACAAGGTAGACATAAAATATATTCGATTAAAAAAAATTATGTTGAAGATTGTTGACTTTGAATACTTCCATCCAACGAGTTACGGGACAATTTTGTGTCCCGGAGCTTTGTTTGGGGACAATGGGACAGGTGACCGAGAAAAGGGACAGTCCCGTTCAAAACGGGACGTGTGGTCACTTTAGCTATAACCCGGCGACGGCTCCGTGGGGCAGTGGCTTAGCAATTAGTTGTTGCGCTGGGGGCCGCGGGTTCGAATCCCGCACGGAACAAGTATTTGTATGGCTTACAAATAATTGTTCCGGGTCTGGATGTTTGTCCTTGTGCAATTTATGTTTGTAAACTGCCTCCACGACACAGGAGAAAATCCTAGTGTGGGGGTAACGTTTTTTTACAATTGAAATTGAAAGATTGAACCCTTATACTTCTTGTTGATTTTTGTATTAGTAGTTAGGTATATTACTTTTCAATACGTGACACGTAAAAATTAACAATAATCAAAAACACATCTACGAAACATCCTATTTATTTATTTATTATTTATTGCACCAAATATTTGTACAAAAGGCGAGCTATCTATTTATTTACCTATAGTGAATAGGTATCTTTTAAACTCATAATTTTCAATGCTTCATTTTTAATATATAATTAATTATAAAATTTCATAATTAGATAATATATGAAAATACATAATTCTAATATAATGCAACTAATATACCGAATAAAAAAATTAAAATACATTTATCGTTGTACGTTGTGTGCAAAGATATTTTATGACCTATAAAACATCTTTGGCTGTGTGTATTTCCATAAATTAGTTCATTGATGTTGAAAAAATAATACTACGTTCGTACCTACAATAGGTGGTGGCGTCGTACATATTTCAAATAAGCAATATATTGAGGCGAGCGGCGTGCCGCCGGCAAAATGCTCAAGGTCGTTCGCATGGAGTAGCCCCTTAAGCCAGTAACATAAGCGCCGTGTCTACCAGCAATGCATCACGCAAGTTATAAGATGCATACAAGTGACAGAACTGTTTTGCAGCCAAATTTAAAGTTTTAAGTTTAAAAATATTTATAAACTATTAGTATCTAAGAACTGGATGATTTTTTTGGCATATATAATGATTTTTGATATATGAAATTTCGAATACAAGTTAGACCCGGATAAAAAATTTAAAATCTAAATAATATATTTTGTTTGTAATATATTGCATTTTTGAGAATACAATTATTTTGTATTTGGTTCAGCAATTTGAATAAAATAGGCGTAACAATAATTTTGCATAACAATAATTTCTGCACTACGAAATAACCCACCTAACATAGATTTTAATATCCCTATTTTTTGTCGAAGGCATCTTTCTGTATTATCACAAAAACTTTAATTTTTAAGACGTATTAAAATTAGTGATAGTGATTAGTCTTGAGTAATGAATACTATACGAGTGTAACTACAAATTGCAAAAATCATCAATGAGACTTGGCTTTATTTTACACAGTACTTATTAAGCGGCTTGAAAAAATTAGCATGTTATCAATTTGAATAAAAGTATTTATTTTGAATGCATATACCTACTTGCTTATTTTTTTATCAAAAGCATTTTAATCGACGATAGTTTAAATTTATTTTTCTTTAAGCAATCAAATTATTAACGCAATGTGTACCTTATCGCAGATATTCAAGTCAGCACCGTGCGCTATGAGTAAGCGAACGATCTGCGTGTGTTGGCGCTCAACGGCAAGGTGTAGCGCAGTTTGCAGGTTCGCGTTCTGTAGATCGGGTCGTGCACCTCCTCGCACCAGCAGCTCAGCCACCTCCGCGTGGTTATTCAATGCGGCCAAGTGTAGCGCCGTATAGCCATCGTCTTTTGCATCATCCACTATCCATGGCCTCGGTAACTTGCCTAGCATTATCTTCATAGCACTGAAATATAATATACAATATTGAATATCATAAAAAAGAAAAGTTAAGAAATAAGGTAATAAGAATTCTAAAATTTAAACATTTTTACATGAGATTATCACATATTATGATTGCCGTGTAGGGGCAGCGTAAGAGAATCCACTAGCCCATATCATTCCACGGGTTTCAGGAGATGTGCTTCTTGATAACAGCTGAATAAAAAAAAATAACTGCGGTTGCCTACCAAAACGTATACAAACAATCAGAGCTTAATATTGCTACTTCTAGTAAGACCCATCGCAGTATAACTCATTTAACGGGAATTGACACTGATACGTCAGCTTACAGGCCATTGAACAGACATATTTCCATCCAAAGTATAAAAAAAATAACTGCGGTTGCCTACCAAAACGTATACAAACAATCGGAGCTTAATATTGCTACTTCTAGTAAGACCCATCGCAGTATAACTCATTTAACGGGAATTGACACTGATACGTCAGCTTACAGGCCATTGAACAGACATATTTCCATCCAAAGTATAAAAAAAATAACTGCGGTTGCCTACCAAAACGTATACAAACAATCGGAGCTTAATATTGCTACTTCTAGTAAGACCCATCGCAGTATAACTCATTTAACGGGAATTGACACTGATACGTCAGCTTACAGGCCATTGAACAGACATATTTCCATCCAAAGTATAAAAAAAATAACTGCGGTTGCCTACCAAAACGTATACAAACAATCGGAGCTTAATATTGCTACTTCTAGTAAGACCCATCGCAGTATAACTCATTTAACGGGAATTGACACTGATACGTCAGCTTACAGGCCATTGAACAGACATATTTCCATCCAAAGTATAAAAAAAATAACTGCGGTTGCCTACCAAAACGTATACAAACAATCGGAGCTTAATATTGCTACTTCTAGTAAGACCCATCGCAGTATAACTCATTTAACGGGAATTGACACTGATACGTCAGCTTACAGGCCATTGAACAGACATATTTCCATCCAAAGTATAAAAAAAATAACTGCGGTTGCCTACCAAAACGTATACAAACAATCGGAGCTTAATATTGCTACTTCTAGTAAGACCCATCGCAGTATAACTCATTTAACGGGAATTGACACTGATACGTCAGCTTACAGGCCATTGAACAGACATATTTCCATCCAAAGTATAAAAAAAATAACTGCGGTTGCCTACCAAAACGTATACAAACAATCGGAGCTTAATATTGCTACTTCTAGTAAGACCCATCGCAGTATAACTCATTTAACGGGAATTGACACTGATACGTCAGCTTACAGGCCATTGAACAGACATATTTCCATCCAAAGTATAAAAAAAATAACTGCGGTTGCCTACCAAAACGTATACAAACAATCGGAGCTTAATATTGCTACTTCTAGTAAGACCCATCGCAGTATAACTCATTTAACGGGAATTGACACTGATACGTCAGCTTACAGGCCATTGAACAGACATATTTCCATCCAAAGTATAAAAAAAATAACTGCGGTTGCCTACCAAAACGTATACAAACAATCGGAGCTTAATATTGCTACTTCTAGTAAGACCCATCGCAGTATAACTCATTTAACGGGAATTGACACTGATACGTCAGCTTACAGGCCATTGAACAGACATATTTCCATCCAAAGTATAAAAAAAATAACTGCGGTTGCCTACCAAAACGTATACAAACAATCGGAGCTTAATATTGCTACTTCTAGTAAGACCCATCGCAGTATAACTCATTTAACGGGAATTGACACTGATACGTCAGCTTACAGGCCATTGAACAGACATATTTCCATCCAAAGTATAAAAAAAATAACTGCGGTTGCCTACCAAAACGTATACAAACAATCGGAGCTTAATATTGCTACTTCTAGTAAGACCCATCGCAGTATAACTCATTTAACGGGAATTGACACTGATACGTCAGCTTACAGGCCATTGAACAGACATATTTCCATCCAAAGTATTTGCCTAAGACCTGTCTGTCGTAAGGAGCCAATCCATGAAGCCAATTTATTGTCGAAATATGAGAATGAAAATAAATGAAAAATCTGGCCAAGTCGAGGTAGGGTTCCGTAGTTGTCCGTCACAATACGTGAATTTAAAAGGAGCCTTTTTGAAAATATGACTTATGGATCTGACACTGCTGACCGTATGAGGAAGCTCTAAGTCGCTCAGCGAGCTGTGGAGAGGGCTATATTCTGGGTTTCTCTGCGTGATAGACTTAAACATGAGGATATTGCTCGTAGAGCCAGAGTAAACGACATAGCCCAACGGATTAGTAAGCTGAAGTGGCAATGATGGCCATATAGCTCGAACAATCAACCACCGATGGGGAAGAAAGGTTCTCGAGTGCCCCAACTAGATGGAGTGACGACCTGGTAAGACATACAAGAAGTCGATGAACGCAGGTAGCTCAGGAGCGTTCTTTGTGGCATTCCTCGGGGAGCCTATGTTCAGCAGTGGACTTGTAAAGGGATGTAATGATTATGATGATAAAGTATTTAATTCATTTATTTTTGGTTTAAAAACTTCCGCGCGTGTTCCTTGTGTAGACTTCTGCCCCTAGACACGTGTCTAGTTTGCCTTAAGGGTGATCCGCCACTGACTCAATTATAAACTAAACTCGATGTTACTTGTTTTACCTAATTCAGGCCTAATTCATGAAAATATACCTACGATGTGCGGCCGCCTACAAGGGGCTAATGTTACTAAGGGGTGAGGTGTCACGCCCGCGACATACAAGAAGTCGATGGATGCAGTTGGCTCAGGACCGTGTTTTGTGGCATTTCTTGTGGAAGGTCTATGGTCTTTATGGGAGGTATCTAAAAGAAAAACGTTTTTCAAGATTTTATTTCACAGTTTTGTAGGCGTGATTAATATCTACAACTACATATGCCGAATTACAGATTCGTAGCATCTAGGATCTCTGCGTATAACCGCGGACGGACGGACATGGTGAAACTATTAGGGTTCCTTGTTGTTTAACTACGGAACCTAAATAAGAGAGTATGAGTGGAGATAAAATTCTACTTTGTTGCGCACCAGGTAAGAGATGACACATTGTGACCGCAACGAACTGTTTGCTGTCGGCCACAAAGGTGGAAAAAAACCATTCAACGACTGTGGAAATTTTCGACAGTAAGACTTATGTGGTCAAATCCACACGAATGTGGTACTAATCATAATTCGTATTATAATAATAACAAGAAATATCTTTTTAAAATGTGGTTATAATTAAAACGATAGCTCATCATATTTAAAATCTTACTACTTGATTACGCTTTGTTTACTCAGACACATGAACATCGCTATACTCGTAGCATGGACTTTTTAAAGTAAAATGAAGGAAATCAGCCGGGACCTTTCACCGTCTGGGTAGGTATACTAGGTCATAGAAGTCTTCCGCCTATTCATTTGGATACGCCTTCTCACCTGTTTCTTCTGGACTGAAGGGTACGAAGAGCCAAGCATTGGGCCTAATTACTGGGCGTGGCATTCCATCAGAGGTCACAGCATATCTGTAGCCTTCTTCGTTTGAAGTTGTTTGCAGGTGTCCATGACGAACTTGCGAACGAACTTATTTCCATCATTTACCCTGGTGGAAATAAGTTCGTTTGTCACCTCTATTATAATAAAAAACTATTAAAAATTGTCTACGCATTACTGTTTTGTAAAAGTAGGTGAAGAATGTCAATTTCGCTGTGTTATTCTCTATATGGTAATATTGTTTGCATCACAACTTTCAATTTCTTACCCTTTGTTGACGGTGATAGTGCAAGGCAGAATCAGCAGTACTTCTTCAAAACTATTACAAGAATACGGCTTGCTTTTTGCTTTTGATTGGCGCTTCAGCGTAGCATGAGCGACTCCAGTCGTCGCGCAACTACGCGAAGAGGTTGCCAATTTCTTTTAGGTACTGAACTAAATACATCTCTAAGCTTTAGTTTAGCTCTACAATTTCTGTATTTAAAGATAAGTTTTTCAGTTCACATTCTGTACGAATTGGCGAGCTTCGTCCGAGCGGAGCGAGGTTAATTTTGATAGTATATTACGAGTATAAACTAGCTGTGGCTTGCAAGCGATTCAATGCTTTTTAGTCAGATACATACATTCGGGGGCGCACGTACACCAACTGACTAAATTCTCATCGTAATCGGATGAATTGTATAGGAAACTAATAATGATAAATGTCAACGTCACAACGAACAAACAATCAAATAAATATTTATACCAGCAATGTTTATATTTGTTTGTAATCGCGTTGTAGAAAACGGCTCGTAATGATTTGGTAAAATTTCCCATGTATAGTTTTACAAGGACGAAAAATTGATCTAGCGAGATCTCAATCTTCTCAATCTGCTAACTCAGTTTTGTTTTGTGTTTTCATTCACTAACCAACAAATTAGACATGCAATGTGATTGTTGTTTTCACCACTGAGATCAACTTTTCAAAAGGCGTAGCTCTATCACGGTGGAGTGTGGGAGTTCGATTGCTACGATGTGGTCAGAAATTTTATTTTTTTATCTTTTGTTTTTAGTATTCCAGACCCCATAGCTGGCCAAAAATAAATTATTATAGACTTATAAAATGTTTTGTTTGCGGAGTTGTAGCGATATACAATCAAACCCTTCTATACTGTTTTTAATAATTAAAATTAAAAAAAATATTCTATTATATATTTTTATATGTAACTGGTTTCTCGGAAACGGCTGTAAATGTTTTCTTCTACAAATTTTTCTAAATAGGTGTAATTACTGAGAAAATTTTTTTTTTCTAACGCCGAGCTTCTCTTTTCTCTTGGCCATGTACTCTATATTAACAGTCATAACTGTATTGCCATGAAACGCCTCCAGATAAATCGATTCACAGTAAGTACACATTAATATTACAACGTGGTGTTTTAATCCACTGATAAGTATTTGTAGAGATTTTATAATCAAAACTATTGCGTTAAATGTATCCAGACATAAAAATCTAAA